CGATATTCGTGATCAGCATGGTAAGTAAATCGATTAAGCGAAGTTTCAATGAGATCTGAAGTTTTGACATTTGGGCTCAAGAATTAGTGCATATGTTGCTGCCTTGAGCATGAGTGTGTGAACAATTCAAGATTATCGCCGCTGAGATTTCGAAGTCTCGGATTTCGCCGAACTTTGTCAAGTTGAGTTGATCACGCTGACATTGAGTTTGCACAGGAGAGGCCCATTATTGGGTTACAGTAGATGTGCTGTAGGAAGATCAAGGTCAAGGAGCCACTTAAAAATTGGTCTACTAAGATTAAAAGCTGATCTTGAATTGCATATCCATTAAACGATAATTTCTGCTTCAATCTTAAATTTGTTAGATGGCAAATATTCGGTCGCTCTTACTTTTTTATCGTCTATATCAGCAAACGGTGAATTAGCCAGTTTTAGTAACATCCCACTTCATCAATGCAGCGCTATAGAATTCTTCCTCACACTACTATAGAAGCAGCTATTCAATAAAGTTGACCCTTTGGATCTATGACAAAATTTGACAAGGTATCATTTGCTATCAATCGTCAGGTACTGACTAAGCAGTACTTAAGGAAGGCCAAATTTGGCGATTGCGCTGGACGTAAATCTTGAACTTTCCGCAAAATTCCAAGTTTCTAGCTCTTTTTGTCTGAATTAAGGAGAAGGATAGCCTGAGAAAAAGTGACTATAGGTTATGATAAAGTGCTTCAATTTCACATCGCACAGCAGCACAGAAAAGCCCATACTGCACCTTTATCCACAACTTGGTTGCACCAAACATTGGCCGGACTTCAGATAACAGACCTCAAAAACGGCATATGTTTAGCATTATCCAAGATAACCTATGGCCGTTTAGGAAAGAATCGTACCTGCTTCAGTGAAAATATTGACCAATTGTTTAGATCATCGAATGAATTGGTGTGAGAGTCTTAAAGTGCTAGCATATGTAACCCATCAGAGATATAGCAAACCGTTCACGTATCTCTTACGAAAAAAA